GTCTTACTATTTGAATTTATTGAGTAAATGTAAGAATTTGACACAAAAGATGATGCATACATTTAATTAGGTTAGACAAAAATTGGCCTTATAAAGCTAAAAATGCTCATAAAAGGTAAAAACTGAATTGTTATGGTGCCATGCCACCATGATATTAAAGTTTACTGAAACTAAAGCAAACCTTGAGTGCCGCCATGTAAAAATGCCTAGCGCAGAGAAGGATAGAAACAGGCGGCTGATGGCAGCTGTATTTAGCTCAGGGCTCCTCTTCCGGTCACCTCATTTATTTATTGGGTTACAAACCCATCAGAACATCAACACAAGCCTCTTCCTGGTCTGCATTATACATTATTATAGGATTACAGAATTTATTTCTTAAACAGTATTGTAATGAAACACTACTACTGAAATCACCGTATGGCAGCGACGAATCAGTAAAGATCTGTTGCTAATCATCATCTCATGCTGCCACTTACTGTCAGGAGAACTTGCCCAAAAAACATGATTAAGATCTTGAACAGTCAATCCAGACCCTTTATCTCAAATACAGAGATGCTACGAAAACTCCTGAACATCCAGAGAGAGCAGAAAAATAAAGCCTTTCACATCGCCGCTCCTGGAAGTATATAGCATTCATTTTCTAAAATACATAGAAGAGAATTATTAAGAGCTCTTAATAGGCGAGAACCAAAAAAAAAACAGCTCCTGCACTACTGTTCAACAGTTTGGGGTCAGCACAATTAAAAAAACATTGTGAATAAACTCCTTTTATTCATCAAGGATGCATTAAATTGATGAAAAGTGACAGTAAAGACATTTATAATGTTACAAAAAAATTCTATTTCAAATAAATGCTGTTCTTTTGAACTTTCTGTTCATCTGTGAATCCTGAAAAATTTAAAACGCATCATGGTTTCCACACAAATATCATGCAGCACAACTGTTTTCAACATTGATAATAATCAGAAATGTTTCTTGAGCAGCAAATCAGCATATTAGAATGATTTCTGAAGATCATGTGACACTGAAGACTGGAGTAATGATGCTGAAAATACAGCTGCGCATCACAGAAATAAATTACAGTTTAACAGATATTCACATAGAAAACAGCTATTTTACATTATAATAATATTTCACTATTTTTACTGTATTTTTGATCAAATAAATGCAGCCTGTGTGAGTAGAAGAGCCTCTTTCAAAAACTTTTAAAAATCTTACCGACCACAAACATTTGAACAAGTGTAAATAAATCACAAAATTTGGTACAAGGTAAAAAAGTCTTTTAAAATCATTTAAAGAGAAAGCTACAAAACTCTTCAAAATCTCATGACGTCACCAAACCATAAACATGATTCACTAGTCCTTTTTAAGGATGCACACATGAAAAAGGCTTTCACAAAGAAATGCACCAAAGTTTGGAAAAAAAGAGTTTAGAACAACATACTCCATATCTAACCCTAAGCCTGATAAAAGCTGCTTTATTGGTCGTGTCGACATCACCTGACTATCCGAATACTCGTTTCACAACACGCTCAAACCACAAACTACTGCTTCTGTGTGACGACAAAACCATGCTCACAAATATAGTAGTAGTAACACAGCAGTGAACTTTAGTGAAAAATCACAGCGCTGGTTACTCATTTATCACAGGACAAACACAGAGGAATCTGTGAGGTTTTCCACCTCCTTAACTTAAAACATGCATGTTTAGTAAGCGTGTAGTTCCTGCTGTAATGCATGAATCGCTCACATGTTCAGCTTTGAAGTACTTCAGAATACCATGGTATGGTCGCAATCCATTTGCAAGGTATATATCAAAGCACCACGGTATTACCACCCAATACCATCACTGTACCATAGTACTATCTTAAAGGCAATCAGATGAGAAAAGCAGTCAGCTGGCAGTATTAGGTAATCACACCCTTACAAACACTACTTCAGTGATGCATCAGCTGGGGTAATACCATGGTACTGAAATGCATGCACAATAATATTTATATGGTGCTCAAAAGCAGGGTTTTGTAAACTGGGGGATGCAAGGGAGTGCATGGAAATGAAATTTAAAAAAATAAATAAATAAAAAAATGCAATTAAAATAAATAATAAATAGAAAATTAGTCTAAAATAAATATATAAATAAAGAGTAAACACTAAATAATTACAGTACTTTAACAAATAAATTAATAAAAAATAAAGTTAAAATAATTATTTAAATACATTGAAAATTTGACTAAAATAAGTAAATAAGTGAGTAAATAAATAAAAGTATATTAAAATAAATATGTAAATAAAAGAGTAAATACAGTACTTTAATAAATAAATAATAATAAAAAAGAAAATAATTCATACAACTTTAAATGTAAAATTACAACATTAGATTAACATAAGTAAAAAAAAAAATAAAAAAAAAAGATTAAAATAAGTAAACAAATGCAGTACTATAGCAGTCATTTAAAAGAATAAAATAGTGTTATAAATATAAATGAATACAAATAAAGGATAAAAAATACTTCCAAATAATATTTTAGATATAGATTGTGTATTTACACAAGAAACCTTTTAAATAATTTTAGGATGGGGGGAAACTGGCACAATGGTTTTATAATATTATAAATAAATCTGGGGGTCGATTGCATTTTTATTTAATTTTTTAAGAAAACATCTGCTCTAACGTACTTGAAAGAATACCATGGTAATGTCACTGTACTCTGTACATGTCCTTAAATCAGGGCAGCACCATACAGACAATTATATAACAAATATACTCTTACATAATAAAGCAGGGTGATAGTAACATGATTAGTGATTGTATCAGATGGTAAACCTATGGTACTTTGATTTACAGCATGGTAATGAGATTCATTCACTTCTCCGTGAGGTAGTACCATGGTACATGTTCAAAAATCAGTGAATTTACTTGCTAAACGTTTTGAAAGTACCATAGATATACCATAGTACAATATAATGCCATGGTACTGTCACGGGATTTTATTGTAAAGGTTTGTTTCTTTACTGAAACGCATCCACGTAAGCACCGGACACCTTAATTTCTATTTTACCATGGTAAAATGACCTGGCAGTGCTAACCAGCCGTGCCAATCAAAACCCAACCGACACCCGGTCCGCTTCGCCTCAGTGCCGCCGGTGAGCGGCGTGCCGTGTGCCGGGAACTCGTGAACAGGAGCGGCCGCCTGTCAGTCACTCGAGCTCGGGGATCCGGCGCGGCCCGCGCTCCCTTCCTGCATTAACCCGCTTACACTTCACCGAAACACGGCGACCGTCCGCGTTCCTCACTTACCTCTGAACTTCAGGTCGGTGGGGGGATCTAGGATAAGGATCTGCTCCAGTTTGGACATGTTTTTGGCCGGTGAGGTGACGCTTGGTCTCGGAGAGCAGCTGAGCGGCGCGGTCGATCCGAAACCCGTCCACTGAGTCACTGAGTCAACTGAGTCAACTGAATCACTGAGTCCCAAGCCTTGTCCAAATACCCACACTTGCGGTCTTTGCACTTGACCACTTGACTACTTACATGACGTATTTCCTGTATTTGGCCCAAGTGTTCAAGTGAGCACATAAACTG